TATGTACCAAGTCCTTATACTCTTTCTCATGATACCCGATAAGCATTGATTCATGTCGTTATTTTATGAATATATATGTTTAACTGTTATTCAAGCAATCAATAGTCATGAGACCATAAATTAAATTAGAAAAGAGTTTGTAATTCATGTTTTGGTAACCAATAAAAATAAAATCGTAATTAAGAGTGGAACGGGGTGGCAAAATAAGATAGAATTTTTCACGTAAATAAATAGACCAAATGAATAAAATAAGGCGTATATGAAATAAAATAGAATATGAGGATGAAGCGGAAGGGAATAAACTAAGACAAAATAACACAAAAAATAAAACAGAATAAACTAATGGAATGGAAATAAATAATAAATAAAATAAATAAATAAACAGAAAAATAATTAAGTAAGGAAAATGAACTCACAAGTAAAGATACAAATGAAAATAGAGAATGACAAGTAAAATAAAACTAATAACGGACAAAACAAAATCTATTCACTAGCTTCATCGACAACCCATAACTAATCATCAATGAATCATAAAATTGTTTAGAACTATTGTTTATTATCATTTTAACTTTAATTTACTGTAACAGGAAAAATAGTGTTACACTGAGTCGGTGTCAAAGATGCCTCCTTTTTCACCATGGTTCTTGATGGTTCTTGGTTCTTGGATTTCTTGGATTTTTCTGGTAAGATTGAAAGAATACATCAAAACAGCGTGAAAATATGCAAGAAAAAGCGAAAAAGGCAAAAAATCTCACCGTGGGTCAGGTTGGGGTTTCGGCGTGGCAGTTTCGCCGCCTGCTTCTTTTTCTCCAGCACTTCTCTTTCTCTGCTCAACCGATTCTGGCTGGCTACTTGTGAAAATTTATTTAAATCGTGATTAGGAGGGTATTCTACAGAGAAAAGACGGAACTTTCAGCCTTGTTGGGTGATTTTCAGTCTCTGGTGTGGCGATGCAACTGTGCTTCGCTGCCTCTCTCTCTCAAGTTATGGTCTCCTGTATTATAGTTAGTTTAAACGACTAGGGCAAGAAAATAGGGAGAACAAGAAGAAAAATCATGCTCCCTAACGCGTTTTGGGTCTCCGGCACGGTGGCGCCAACATCTTTCGGTGGCTGCGCTTCTCCTCTGGCCACCCCTCTTCTTCTTCTCCGGTTAGGGTGTCGAGTAGAGTTTGGGAGTCGACTGAAGAGAGGTTTAAATACCTCTCTTTAATCGAACTGAGTTGTACGATCTGGGGAGACGTGGAGGCACACGGATCATCCGATTATGCATGTTTAGAAAATCTATCTAGGTTGTTCGATCTGAAGAGCATCCGATCGAGTCTGTTTAGGAAATCGATCTAAGTCGTTCGCATGCGCAGGAGCGGTCCTGATATGTCCGATCGGCCTATCACGCGGATTGCTAGTGTGGGCTTTTCGTGTGGAGCCCGTGTCGATGTGACACATCTCGATTTATCGTGCTGTTGATATGGTCATCCTATGTGGCTCGTTTCCTTTAATTTACAAAGTGACCCCATTTTTGTTTAGTTTTCTTTTAAACGTGCCCCCTTTTATTTTATAGATTGACCATGATTTCTAAAAATTGTTTCAAAAATGTTCAAAATGCATATATTTTTTTTAATAATTATTTTTTGCACATTTTTAATAATAAATAAAAAAATCAACAATTATTATTTTTTAAGAAAATTTAACTTTTACTATCACAAGATTAACTATCCTGAACCTGAGATGTTACAACTCTCTCATTCTAAAAGAAAATTTGGTCCTTCAAATTTGCTACCCTTAGTTAAATAAATGAGGATACCTAATCTTGAATTATGATTCCAACTCCCAAGTAGCCTCGTCCTGCAAGTGATTCTACCTTAAGACCTTCACAAAAGGGATTTTCCTATTGCGGAGCACCCTACTCCTTCAGTCCAAGATGTTGGTGGGTACTTCTTCGTAAGAAAGATCCTCCTAGACTGGAAGAGGTTTGTAGGACAAAACATATGAAAGATCAAAGTTATACTTGCGCAACATTGACTCATGGAAGACCTTATGGACCTTGGACAATTCTTGTGACAGTGCTTGTCTGTAGGCGGACGTTCAAATTCTATCTAAAATTTCGAACGGTCTGACAAACCAAGGATTCAGCTTTTCCCTCTTTTCAAACCTAGTGATGCCCTTAAGGGGGTAACCTTAAGGAAGACCCAATCACCTGTTTCGAATTCTAAATCCCTTCTTCATGTGTCCGCATAACTCTTCTATCTACTCTGTACTGTTTTGATATTTTTTCTAATTTTGACAATTTTTCTTGTGGTATCCTCTATAAGATCTGGGCCAAATAATTTTTTGTCACTTATTTCCTCCCAACAGATTGGCAATCTATAGGGTCGGTCATATAATACTTCATACAGAACCATACCGATGCTTGTTCGGTAATTGTTATTGTAAGTGAACTCTATCAGGGGGAAATGATCATCCCAGTACCCCTCGAAATCTAGGGTACCAGCCCTAAGCATGTCTTATAGTGTTCGAATAGTTCTCTCTAATTACTTGTCTGTTTAAAGGTGAAAAGTCATACTGAGTGATAATTTGGTCCACATTGCCTGTTAAAAACTGGTTCAAAACCTGGAGGTAAATTTGGGGTCTTTGTTTGATATCACTGTTACTAGAACCTCATCCAGCCTGGCTATCTCTCGAATGTAAATTCTAGCTAACTTGTTCAAGGTATCTATTATTTTAATGGCTAGGAGGTTGAAGAACTTGGTGAGTCGATCAACTATCTTCCAAATTGCATTATGACCAGAACGTGCCTTGGGCAATTCTATTACAAAATCTATAATGATATGGTCCCATTCCCATTTTGGGATTTATAATGGTTGGAGTAGAGCGCCTGAGCGTTGATGCTCGACCTTAACTTGTTGGCACGTGAGACACCTTGAGACAAAGTCAGTGATATTCTTCTTCATCCTATTCCACAAAAATCGGGACCGCATACTTTGGTACATCTTGGTACTTCCTGAGTGCATGGTGAATTTCGAATTGTGAGGCTTTGTCATTATGTCTCTCTTCAAATTGCTATCACTAGAAACATGTAACCTATCTTGAAACCTAAGTAACCCATCTGCAGAAATTCAGAACTCTAGGTTCAAACCCTACTTTGTATCTTTTCTAAGGGCACTAGAGTGGAATCAGCTAGCTGAGCCTCCTTTATCATTTGGATTAACTCAAGTTGAACTGCTAAATGAGGTAGGCATCTGGCTCGTTCCAAGTATTGGAGTTGTATTCGCTGTGTGACCTTTATCAACCTGCACTCGAAAACCATCATATGGGCTAACATAGCTACATTCTTCCTATTGAGAGCATCGACTACTACATTATTCTTGCCTGGTGGTATAAGATCTTATAATCATAATCTTTAAAGAGTTTTTATCCAACGCCTCTGACGTATGTTGAGGTTCTTCTGGGTGAATATATGTTTTAGACTCTTATAATTTGTATATATTTCAAACGTCTCCCCATATAAGTAATGACGCCAAGTCTTCAAGGTGTGAATAATTGTGGTGAACTCCAAATCGTGAGTGGGATAGTTCTTTTCATTAGTTTTCAACTATTTGGACCCATAAGCTATAACACTTTTGTACTGCATTAAAACACAACTCAAACTTTGGTATGATGCATCACTGTATACTGTATATCATTCGCCTGTTCTATTCAGCAGAGCCAACATTGTTGCGGTGGTCAGTCGCTATTTGAGTTCTATAAAGTTTCTTTCACATTCCTCATTCTACTCAAACGTGACATTTTTCTTCGTGAGTCATGTCAGGGGGGGCTGCTATACTTGAAAATCCTTCTACAAACCTACTTTAATACCCTGTCATATCTAAGAAACTCCTAACTTCCTTGATCGTGGTCAATTGCTTTTAACCCGTATCTGCTTTAATCTTGTCGAGATTCACTGACACTCTATCTTTCGATACTATGTGTCATAGGAAGAAAGTTTACTTAAGTCAAAATCTATATTTACTAAATTTTACATATAGCTTCTTTTCTCTGAGAACCTATAAGACTTGATTCAGTTACTGGGCATGTTCTTCCTTACTCTTAGAGTAAACTAGGATATCATCAATAAAAACTATGACAA